TCCCTGCCTCTCCCTGTAACCTGAGCTCCGCGCCGAGGTGGATCCCGGCCGCCCCCCCGCCCCGCCGCGCACAAAAGAGCCGGCGGCGGGCGCGGGAGGCAGGGGCAGGGGCAGGGAGGCTGGGGAGAGCCGGCGGGGAGGCAGCGAGGACGAGAAGGGGAAACTCTTTTGTTTTAAATTCCCTGGCTGCAGCATGAAGCTGACACTCCGGAGGGGCCCGGAGGCTGCTGGGGGATGTAGTCTCGCGGCCCGGCGCGCACACCCCCTTGGCTGGCGCTCGAGGAGCGGGGAGGGCGGGGGAGGGAGGAAAGAGAGAAAGAAAGAAAAAGGGAGGGAGGAAGGGGAAAGGATGAATGAAAAACAGAAAGAAGAAAAAGAACACGGAAAGAAAGGAAGGAAGGGCAAAGGAGGACTGAAAAAAAGAAAGAAAGAAGGAAAGGAAGGAAGGAGGAAGAATGAATGAAAAAAGAAGAGGAAGGAAGAAAAAGAAGAGTAAGAAAAGAAGAAAGAATGGATGCAAAAGAGAGAGGAAGGAAAGGAAGGAAGGAGGTTGGATGGATGGACGGATGGATGTAGCCTGGATGGGTGGATGGAGAGAGGAGCTATCTGCTGCACATGTAGGGCAGACAGCAAGAGAGGGGGATGGACGGATCGATGGATGGATGGACAAGGGCGACTTCAGGCGTGGGGTGGACGGACAGACGGAGCCCAGTGGGATAAGGCACCAGATTGGGACCCTAGAGACCTAGTTACAGCCACCGGCCGTCCCGGTGACCTTGGGCAAATCACTTAAGCTCTCGGCATCCCAGGCCCCACGAAACAGGCCCCTAATCCTTGCTGAGGGGGCTGCGCTGGTCAATCCAGTGCCTGGGAGGGATAAGTGGGGGGAGGAGTGGGGAAGGAGCCTGCTGCTTGCCCTGTTTTGGGGGGGTGTAAATCCAGAGTGACTCCATGGAGGGACAGAGCAGGAAGGGGAGGGGGAGGGAAGGGGGGAGGAGATGGAAACCCCCACTTGTTTGCACATCCTGCTCTGGGGTCCACAGCAGCAGGAGGGGGCAGAGGGGCTGGGCTGCACATCGAGACAAGGCCCCAAAAGGATCAGGCCTGAGATCCCACATCCATCCCTGCCTCCTGGGCCTCCCCCATGCAGGAGGCTGGCTGTGCAGAAGGGGGACTTGGCAGCTCTCCGGCCTGGGGGAAGGGAAGGGAGGGGAGGTGGGGGGGACACCCTCCATGGCAATAACACCTCCCTCTCTCCTCCTTCCAGATCTAGAGATGCTGGGGAGAGAGGCCACTGCTGGGCCCCTCTCCCTTTTCTTATTGAAATGAAGGGCGATGGGGGGAAAGCATTGAAAATAGCTTTTCAGCTCCCAGCCTGCAAGGGTTTCTTCCCTCCCTCCCCCTTTCTTCCCTTTGAATCGAACCAGATGTCTCTCCCATGAAATGAGATTGCCTGGCTCTTGCTGGAGAGAGACAATGCGGGAAGATGGGAGATCCCCCATCCAGCGCACTCCACTGCAGCCCTGGCAGAGACCGTGTCTGCATCTCTGGCTGGGCGTGAGGGGGGTGTGGGGGCAGAAGGGAGGTTGGTGATAGAAGAAGGAATTTGCTGCCCCCCCATCACTGTATTATTTCCCCCCTTTTCTTTTTGCTCTCAGCGCTTTGCCAACAAGGTCTCTCTCTCTCTCTCTCTCTCTCTCTCTCTCTCTCTCTCTCTCTCTCTCTCTCTCTCTCTCTCTTCTGGGTTTGACAGCAGAAGAGCTCAGCTGGGGAATGAACTCAGCAGCTGCACAAGGAAATGTCTCATGCGGTGACTCAACAAGGTAAGGTGTTGCCATCGCTTTCCCTGCAACTTTGCCTCGGCACTTCTGCAGCCTGGCTGGGGGGGCTGCGTTTGGAGCCTGCTCGGTAGTACCCAGTTGGGGCAGCCGCGGTGGTACCAGACCGCAGGGCACACGCTGGGCTCAGAAAGAAAAGGAAAGGAGTCCAGGGTGGGCTGGGATTCTCAGTGTTCAGCCAGCGATCCTTACACCCCTCCCAAAGTACCACCAGCCCCCCAAAGCCGCTGTCGGGGACTTAACCGCATTGGTTCAGACCATGGTTTTCCAACCGTGTTTTGAATTTGGGTTTAACCTTTACGTGCTTGCGTGATCGGTTGTCAAATGCCAGCAGTTTGGAGTGATTTCCTTCGTATAGCCAACAATGGATGTGTGTGCAGTGGCATACACAGAGCAATGTCTCTATAGGCGTAGACAATGTCTGCACATGCACTTTGTATTTACTAGATGCACATGTGTGCATAGGTAACATAGGAGTACTCTAGGTACATATATTTGAGTTGGCGTGTGCATGTTTAATAAGCATAGACATCTATGCACATGCTGTCTTTCTACATATATAGCTGTATAGATATATATTATGCATACATATGCAGTCTATAATGAAAACATTCATAGAAACTAAAATCCATATATACAGACATAGGTATATATCTAGACATGTACGTGCATACATAAAACTCAAACATGTATATGCAGTGCATATGTGCATATCTGAGTACATATATTTGTGTATGTAATTTGCACATATAAGATATGTACTTATTTATATTTATGTGTGTATGATATATACCTAAAATATATTTTTACATATATATGTAAGTGTATAGATACATATGTTTGTGTGTGTATATATATATATATATATATATATATATACACACACACGCACACACACACA